TACAAATATGCAATGAAAGTAGAAATCTGGTGTTAAGAAGAATGCATATGCATGACACCGATAGTCATACGGTGACGAAAACTGGAGGATTTGTTCTTGGCCTTTATGTTCAGAATGTGGGAGAGTGATAAACATTCATCATATTTGGTACTAGGGACATGGGAAAGCCATCCTTTATCTGACGAATAACCCTGCCTTTTACTGTGGTTCCCGTTGAAAAGCTTCAAGATCATTGTTCAATTGAATAAAATGCACCAGATAAGCATGGTAAAAACCTTCAAATATGGGGCTATCCAGAGTCCAAACACCAAGAATACAGTGTCTGAATACAAAATGGCTCTCGGTTAACAAAAATACGCATTCAAACAAAAAGGGTACAACAATCCAAAGAACCACAAACTGTCTAATTAACACAAAATATAAGATGTTATATTAAGTACAACTCTAGTGTTTAAAGGTACTATCTTAAGTGCAACTCAGCATCCATGATGATTCCTTTACTGTAAAGTATTAGCTCTTATTAAGTATCCGTGCCTAATTCCTGTGGTTTCCTTTCGCATCCTCCTTCCAAATTTGAATAATTTGTCTGGATAACGGCGCCGAGAAAGTATTACTGTACACCTCGTCAAAAAATACTCCAGCCCAGAGTTGAAATTATTCATACCAAACATGCCGACATTGAGCATCTTCCTAATACACTGGAGACCTCCTCTGTAAACCAGAAAGCCATCCCTCACGAAACCCTTTCACTAATAATAAGCTTAAGTAATAGCCGATTAGCTCTAGTGAAACGTTCCTATTAGGCGATTCGACTACACAGACTTGTGACATTTAATATTCCTCCCACTTTAATGATAAAATTTCAATTTCGAAGTTAATGTGTTCTCGCTATTAAAATCGGCTTGTTTCTACTCAAAGCGTTGATATTATTATCATTATTTATCTGGAAAAAAGCTGGTGATACCTGAGAACATGGAATGTGCGGGATAGGCAGCAATCTTAGGAAGAACTACATGATTTTTGTCAACTTCGGTTCATATCTCATAATCATACCTCAAGTTGTCCATCCAAACAACACGGTAATGTTGCTTCTGTAGTGATTTTAATTCCACCAAGACTATTGGTTTACAGTACTCACCAATGAATACTGGAAGCTAATCTTCACTGACTGAGTCAACTCGTTAAGCTGACGGTTGGCCATCAAGCCCCTCCCCAAAACTGCACGCTATCGTGTCACGATCTGTTGATCACGTACGAACCCCAGCTGAGCAATCGTCATAAAATTACGACTGTGAACCAGAAATATATTTCATATTTCGGAGGATCAATTCGTTGTCCGTATTCTTCACCAGTCTCAGTAGAACTAACACCTTGAGAATTATGCAAAAACACTTGACTTGTAATATGGCACATCTTAAGCAACTGTCGGCATCTTTTCATCTCCAAAACCTCTCAGGTTAGTTCCAAACAGTAGGCAGCAAGGTTATGCCTGAATAGTTATTTCCAAGCACAAGTCATATTCAAAACTCACAAAGTTAAGTGTCTACGATATTATTCCCTATAATTAATGCAAAAGCTTTTACACCATTTCGATCGCGAATTTTGCTGGTATTAGTCATGCCATCGTAAATTATCACAAAGTTTGCATAAAGATTTACGCAGCACTGAGCACAGAGCTATAAAACTTTTTAAAGCCAAATTTCGCGAAAAATTGAGTTTTTAGTAGTCTTAACTCTTCATTAGTCACTGGCTAATTGCGTGAGCTGCTGTATAACAGAAGAATTTGGCGTATGCAAATGTTTAGTGGGTTCATTTTTGCATTTCATGTGGCCTTATAAATATTTTCGCAGATGAGATAAAGTTTATGGAGAATGAATAATCGAGACAATATAGAGAGAAACAAAAATTTTTGGATGTGCAAGTTGGTAGCTCGACAAAAGATTTAATGCTACGAGGTATACGACCACGTAATCTTCGGTCAATATCGTGGTATGGACGGTTAGATTCTCAATGGTGCTGGTAGTGTGCGCATAAAAGTCTCACGTTTTGCAACGCACTGGCCTGGTTTGATGGTTCATTATTTTCACACCTGACCTGATGCTTTGCTTGTGGTTGATACTTGTTTAAGAACACTGTGGATAACCCAGTGTTGTTACCTTCTGTGTTTACAGTGCCATACACCTGCAGCTGTTGTACATGTAAAATGGTTAACAATGCAGTATCCTCTTATGAAATGTAAATATCGATATGCACTAGGCTTCTAAAAGGGACTTTTTACTGATCATCATATGGCTGAGTCAATATTGAGTACAGTGAGCAACCAAACTTGACTGGAGTGAGTCATTGGGGTGAATCATGGGGATCAGTCATAGTTTGAGTATGACTGAGTGTGAGAAGATATAGGCAGCCAGTGGATTTTATTAGTGACGTTGCCGAATGAGAGTCACTGTGCAACCCATGCAGAGATGAATCAGAGAAGGTGGACAATCTTCCTAGGAGTAGAGGTATTATCAAAAAGCTTTAGTGCCATTAATCACATTATTTAGGCAGCCTAAATGAGTAGGGTGTGGGTAAGTGAATCGAAGCATACTATAGGTTAGTAGAAACCAATGCCATACTCCCGTCTGTTGCACCATTTCCAAGATCCCACCTGGGTACTAGAAGCATCTGAGACCTCCAGAAAATGTTCCAATGGAAGCAGTCTGACGCCTTATATCTTTCGGCTAGCTTTCTACCTAGCGCCAGTTAAATCATTGATCCAGGTGGCTGAAGAAGGAGTAAGAAAGCGTGTGATAAAAGTGTATCCCAAGAATGTCAGCGAGTGATCTATAATCCGTTTATCTGAGAAGCTTGCGTGGCCTTCAGGCACAATTACTTCAAAGAATTGATGAATCGTTATCGAGATAGAAGTATAGCCACTCAGTACTCCTACCTGGTGTGTGCTTATCAAGCCCCAAAACGAGTCAATAATGAACAAAGTCATCCACAATCGGGTACCTCCTCAAGGCATTCAAAAAAGGTCAGTAGAGAGACAAAGCATGTCGATTATACAAGAGCAACTTATTATCTCATCGAGAGCCTCTACTCTTGAAAGTCCTGTCGTTAGCTCGTCAACACTGGTGACCGAAACATAGGTTCTGTATTGTGTACCAAACAGATTCTGGCTAACAAGTATGACTATTCATGGCATAAGTGAATCCAAAAGTAGAGAAATGTAAAAAGGTAATTGTATTATATTCATTTCTGGTACTGACTTCTAACAGATGTAGCTAATGACTCAGTAGCAGCCGATCTTCACAGCTTGCCAGGGCCATTACATTCAATCACATTTGGCACACTATGAGTGATTGAAATGGACTTCACTTGTTTTAATATTCGAAATTTGTGGTATTAATCGAAGTACAATAAGTGTTTCACTTTCATTAATGAGACAAAAAGACAAAATCTTTGTAGCATTGAAAACAGAGGTAGTAAATTACGTTATTTTATCTGCTTTTGGAGTCACAGCCTAAGGCATGTTATCCACTAATAGTCGATAAACACCAGAAGTGGATGGAAAGTATTGTAAGGTAAGAAATAAGTGAATCCTACCCTGTGACAAATGACTCGCAAAAGAGGTCGACTAGCTAAAACTGCTTGAAGATCGCCTTGGTTAGACCTAAAGAAGAAACATGCGCAAATGGAGGCTTTCGGGCAAGTTTCAGGCCATCACACATAAACAGCTGGATAGAATTTGTATATCATGATAATATGAGAGGAGAAAGAGTCCTACTAAGAAGAACCTGACTGGAATTTAATAATCAGTCTTATTATTCCATTTGAGATAAATCTAATATTCATACAGTGGCGGTTACTAAAAGGCCAAGTGAAGAAGTTCTTAAGTTTTAAGAGATATTCAGGGCTCTCAGTGACCCTAGAATAAACAGCTAAATGTCAGCGAAGTTAATGGCATAAAGCCTGACATCATAGGGATAAACTCAAAAATATTAATTTCACTTTGGTTCGTTGAGAAGCCTGTGTAGCTTCTTCCAGAAGAATCCTCATGTCGTCATAACATGGGAGCAGTTCTGTTGCGGTGCTGCAATCTTCAACTCAGGGTGAAATCGTGGAGTTTATCACGAGACAAACCAGCTCATCGCGTTCATCCGATCTTGGAAGAGATAGTAGACTGAAGAGATTGGAAACTTAACAAATCAGATTCTGATGCAGAAGCAGATGATTAAGGACAGCATGCTCCTTTCGTCTCCTATCAGAGGTATCCTGGAAGAAGATAAGTTTAGAAAAATCAAGGTTCAAACCACACTTCAATATACGCAAGCCGAAACTAGACCACCTCCTTTCACAAATTTAATGAGAAGAATCTGAAGTGTTCCATACATTTATTGTAAGGAGATTGTGGGATACCACTGAGTAACTTTATGCATACTCTTCGCACACTATAAAGAGTTATACTTCCTTCCTGAAACATGGATTATCCACCTAAAAACAGTATTGTAGATGAGATCTGATAAATATAGAGTACCTTAGGCATTAGCCGATCTAAATGTCTAAAAGCTCCTTGAAGTATCCATAACATTATCTCCTCTCTCGTTTCACCCACACTGGATGACTAACAGGCAAATAAATCAACTCCATTCACAACACTGACACTGTCCTAACACGCCGCATACTGCGAACTACATATAACCAACCCCTGCAGCACTCTTGTGTGACAGTCGACTGGCGAGACACACTATAAAGAAATTTCCTGAAAATTGGGAACCTATACCTTGCAACCAAGAAGACGTCACGCTAGCTTGTAAACGCAGTCTTTGGTCCTAGAAGTGAGCATCAACAAATCAATAGGTTTATCTTAACTGGCTATAAATATATATTGTATATTCGGACACCCAAACGTTGCGGAAGCCTGTTGGAGTATATACTGTACATAGGGGTATTACACTGAGTAGTTTTTATGAAATATATTTTTGTTTATATTATCTAAGAAAATTTACTTTTATGTGAACTTTCGAGCGCTCACTTTGTGTGTAATGTTTTCAGTTGCTTTTTTAGTTATCATAAACTTTGTAGTTTCAGTGTCTTCTGGTAAGTGAGTCGACTACATAAAATTACATATGTATTTAGAGTTCAGTACCAGTCTGTCAATTTTTAATGGTGGTTCTTGGATCGTAACGAGGTCAAAAATTGTATATCTTGGACAACCACTTCGGTTACGGTGTACAGCTACTGGGCCTGACAATATCACAATAAATCGAAAAGACTACGACAAGAATGTGACCACAGAACTGGTGGCAAAATTTGGCACTGAAGTGAGCTGGGAAGTCACAGAAACTGAATTTTCTGACTCTGGTGTTTATGAATGTGTATCCAGAGGGCTTTCTGATATAGTTACTGTGTACATATACTCAAGTAAGTGACAAGATCTGTAAATTTTAAAAATGTGATGTACTATGTGGTCACAAGTTTTAGTTTATGTTAAATTTTTCGTGCACCTTATAGAATATTTAAATGTTGAAGTGAATTTAGTCGACCTGATCTCTCCCTATATGTGGAATTTGAGAATCTGTTGAACTGTTTTTAATACACCTGTTTCGTATTTTAAACACGAGGTCACCCATATATATGTATATACTAAAATACAATTCTTTCACTATTTTCTATTTGATTATCATTTGACTTTTTCACTGCTTATGAAATAACCCCTTTAAAGTCTAAACTACTTCTAATAGGATATAGTATTCGTGCAAATGTTTAGATAACTCTTTTGTAGGGGCGATTTGAAGGTAAACTGTTGATCTTATAGGGTAATCTGGGTTATGCACCTTAACAGTAATACTTATTCTACCAGCATAATCAATTTTTGGTGTTAGAATAAGCCATTTGGACTCACTGAATTGGCTGTAGATTTGTCACGGTTATTTTAATGTAACTGATATTTATACTAATGTATCGATCAGTATGCCTCTAGAAGCATTCAGAAAAAAACTAACTTCTGATGCTGGACTTATACAAGGAAAATGATACCTGTTGAGGAATTTATTCTAAAATCTTAGTTACGCCTCATGTCTTTTTTCCTTAGGCTGTAGAAAAATATCTGGACAAATGAAAGTAGTAGCAATTGTATCATAAATATCCTCAGTCGTAGCAGAAGCATGTTTATAAAGTTTGGAATATATGTTTCTTAAAACGTTTAATTCTGCCTCCAAATGTATGGTGGTGATATGCGCATGACACTGTCATGGTGTTCAAATCATGAATTCTTTCGACTTTTTTCTCACATAAACTGGATAGTGGAAGGAATTAAATTTAAATTCCAGTCACAAACCTAACAAGGGGAAAGTTGTAAACCAGTGTTTAAAAATAACCAACATACTCTAGAAGACTCTTAGGTCTTAGATGTCTCACACATTATCTGCAAAGGTAGGTTTGGTTAGGCGCCTAATTGACCGAGCAAAAACTCTAGCACTCAAGAAAGCGTAAATAATGAAATGAAACAGGTAGAAAAAGCACTAGTGCTACATAGAAACCCCACAAAATTCATTGGGACTTTAAAATAACTGACAGTAGCAGAACAAATAGTAGTAAAACCATTGACCTTAATATGGCAAAGAATTTAAGGCATGTGTAGTCATGAAATAAGAAACCGTACGTAGGATTCTTAATAAGTCAGGAGTTGCTCAGGGACAGACTTGATAGGCTAAAGGACGCTATTGACCAAATAAGACAAAATGACTGTGAGATCAGCTATATAGGTTATTGCGGTGGATCGAGATCAGTTATCTTATTATAACGTAGCTAAGTTTGAGATGGCTGACCCCAAAATGGTGGACATCTTATGAAAAGCTTAGCATGTTACAACACACTTTTTATCCATCAGCCATGATAACCATTCACTCACCTTTATGGTCGTCAGGAGAGACGGTTATTCCACCCATGGAGAACTGCAAAAGCTCAAATTATACTGAACTCAGCGCTGAAGGATGTTGTCATGACCTATACTACCAGATACTTAGCTGATTCTTGCTACTTTTCGCAGTTAGCTTCCTGTGAAAGTGGACGCCACAAAGCTGTCCTTCCGTAGTGAGTAACACATCGTGATGTGTGGAGATTTCATCGAAAATTACCTTAGAACCTTCTTGAAATATACACTATGTAAAATCAAGCTATCTGTCTAGTCATCGATTTATTCAACAACTAATAGAATTCAGTCTCAACCAAACGAAGGACTAGACTTATTATTTACTAATCTATTGATCACAGTTATACGAGTCACTTGCGAGCTCGGGAAACTAAATGGTAACACCCGTGACTGCAACACTGGGTGACATGGGTTCTAATATCAGAAGGGACATGAATTCCTTGAGGATTACTTATACTCTTTGCTGACTGGTGAATGCCAGCAAGCATGAAACGTGAGTCTCACACTTCTTACCGATTCCATCCTATCATCTAGCGGTTTATACAGTATTTATCTTCATCTGTAACACAGTGAAGAATTAAAGACTTTTTGCTTTCCTTGAAGGACTACAAACGCTTTGTGAGCAGTTTAGAAAGTGTATTTCAGTCAAGTTCATATTTATCAACACTTGTAAAGATTATGTAGACAACATTAGTGATAAGACTATAATTTTTAATATAGCGAAAATATTCATTCAGACATCTACAAAAAAACAGAAAATAATTGAGCAAAGAACATCCTTTTCGATAATTTCCTCTTCGGGCTGTACAATTATATATGCATGTTTATATACATAGAATATTCTAGATTAGTAGTCAATAACAACATTAGTGTTTTTTAAATAATGTCAATTTGTAGAATAAGATCAATGCAGTTAGAGTTCATGCTTAAAGATGTCTAAATTATAATAATAATAAAGATATAGTAGCAAATAGAATATCAACTAAAATTAGGAAAATTCCAAAATAATTCAGGATCATTGGAACCTGGATGGCCAAGGTAAAGACAATTTCTGAACTAACTTCTTTTGGATGCAAAATTAGGCTTCTTAATGTGGATCCCAACAGCCTCAGCAATATTTAGTAGTCGAACTCTTAAGGCGAAATTAAGATTTGTTGGCATGTGATAAATGACCCTGAAAGCCTGGTTAACATCAATCTTGTGTTGTGTATCTACAAGATGAGATAGAATAGCGCTGCGAATAGATTTTGTTTGTTCTTTGCTTAACCACACAGGGTGATGTTCGGAAATTCGACGAGAAACACACCTAATTGTACGGCCTATGTAACTGGCTCACTTTACAGGAGCAGTTAAATTGGTATAAACGGTCATTGACACATAGAAGAGGCGAAATTAGGCAGTTTGTGTTTACTCCCGAACGCGAAAAAGGCGTGATTTTTAAGACACCGCGTAAGTCAATAGTTGTTAAAAGCACAGTACTTTGAATGATAAGATCGTATGGAATATAGTAAAATAGGTCGAACCAGATACTTTTTCAACTCTATTTATGCCCTAAATTAAGAAGTCTAGCGATATTACAAAGACTTTTAATTTATTTTAAGAATTATTACCAACAGTATTTAAAAAAACATTAGAGTGAAATTGGTAGATTAAAATGACATAATCTGATGTGATATTCGGAAAACGAAATTCATTCAAACCACAGTATATGATCTGCTTGACGTAATAAATGAAAATCAGTAAACTTGACCCGAGAGGTCCAAATATTACAGGTGTAATATATACGGTCATATTGCATGAGATTGCACGGACAGTGGAAGTTCTAATTCACAGTGTTATAAATGTAACAGGAGAAGACAAAAGACATTGGGCAATGGAATGTTTGATATGCACATTTAGAAAAATTATCCATACCGTATATTAAAATCGCTATTTGCACAGAACTTTCGTGTTGTGCTACTTCTGTCATTCGTATTGTGTTTCTTTGTCTTCTTTTCGTATCCCCCATGTTTCGCCGCAGTACTGGTTTACTTCCTCCCTTTGACGTCAAATCTATCTCTTTGCTATTTGATTTATTGTACCGATGAACGTCTCTTTATATACTACTAATAAATCTTGTCAGTAGCATGCACAATCCACAAAGTAAGCATAGATGCGTGCTGCTATCTACCACTAATTCATTAATATCAGTGATTGGATAGGTTTAGTACCAACCAGGAGTATATGTTGTGAATTTAATTCAATGTAACACCAGTTTTCTGATGTTGCTAGCCAGAATTGGAGAATTCCGAACCAATTCCATTCTTTAAGCAGAGTTGGGCTCGCCACAACGGCGGTGATGAGCTCGCCCCAAAACGAGCGAAACGGCCATCAGGTGTTTAGATCACTTCGGTCTGACTAGCAAGCACTACTGGTTGATGTGAGTTGTATATGTTATGTATGTCCAAACCAAGTTCGCTTTTAACAGTTTGAAAAAATTTGGGCATTGGGTATATGATATTCATTATAATAAAGGTTTCTTTTGTATTTCCCAATGAATGAAAAACAAAACGATATTGTTTTTACTGACGTTTCGCTGTTTAATGCTGCTAATAGCTTTATCAAAGTATTATTAAACCAGAATTTACAAAATCTCAGCATATAAATAACAAAGAGTTAAGGGGTGAGAAAATAGACTTAGGTCAAGTTAAAAGGACATATTGAAAGTCAAAATAACAATGAAGATCACTAAACCAAATAACAAAGGTAATAGTAAGTGTATTATGATATCAAAATAAAGTTTACTAACTTGATCATCGTTCGTCAGTCTGGGGGCATTTTTCGTTGTCAAGTTGGTCAGTTGGTAAAGATAACAAAACCAAGTGTAGATTGTTGGATTTGATAAGTGTGTGTGTTTATATAATTATATTACTTTTCACATTCGTGTTGATTTTGTCACTTCATGGGGGAGGGGGTTGTTGTAACCAGATCAGATTATGTTTTAGTCCATCATTCCCATTCAGAAAATTTGGATTCCACTTGATATGAAGTGCTTCTGATATTAGACGTTCTTTGTGATTTCTGAAGTTTTTCTGGATTATTTCAATATTGTCAAAATCAATTTTGTGGCCTGATTCTATAACGTATGGATGACCTATGGCTGATGATTTTTCAAGCTTTTCTAGTTTAACCAGATTTCTTGGTGGTCAAAAAGATGCTCTACAGTGTTCACTTCTTTTGGTTTTGATTTCTCAAGATGTTTGTCCGATGTACATCGCATCACATTCCAAGCATTTTATTTTATAGACACAATTAGACAGAGAATCTTTAGGGATTTGGTCTTTTATATGGACAAGGTTGTTTCGTAGTGTGTCTGATGTTTTGAAGAAAACTCTAATGTCAAGCTGATTGAGTACTCTTCTGATATCGTCTGACGTCTCTGCTCTATATGGAATGACGACTGTTGATGTCCATGTTTTCGGAATGCGTTTTCGACCATACTTAATGTCAGTGTTGATTTTGTTGATGAAGTCCTTTGGGTAGTTGTTTTGCTTGAGACTTTCAGCAATATTTGATATTTCTTCTTCTTTTTCTTTCTCATCCGTTATCAGAGAGTGTGCTCGTCTAAGAAGACTTGAAACAACTGAAACCTGTGTGCTGATGGGGTGTGATGCTCTGAAGTCTAAACATTTATTTGAGTGGGTTTTCTTCCTGAATATGGATATACTAAAATGTCCATTTTCCCTCCTCTTAACTAGGCAGTCTAGAAATGGTAGTTCATCGACTTCTGATTCTTCTCCCGAAGTAAACTGGATTCTGGGAGATACACAGTTTATTTTCTCCAGGAATGAGCTGTGTATATCTGGTTTTAGCACTAAAAAAGTATCATCTGCATATCTTAACCATATTTTAGGAGTGAGTATGCTTGAAAAGATGTTATTTTCGAATCTGTTCATGAAAAGGTCAGCGACTATTAGGGAGACTGGTGAACCCATAGCTGCACCATTTGTCTGTCTATTTAAACTTTCTTTAAATGCAAAATAATTACTTTCTAGACAGAATTTCAAGCTCTTAATTATTTCACTGGTGTCCAGTGGACATCTTTTTGATAGCGTTGTATCTGATTCTAGTAGACTGAAAATTATATCAAGACTTTCGGTAATAGGGATACTAGTATATAATGGGTTAATATCATAGCTTACCATAATATCTTCTTTATCAATTTCTCGGTGTTCTATTTGAGATTTGAAATGATATGAATTCCTTACAATATTTTGAGTGTCCTTTTGTAGTGGTTATAGTACTGAGAGTAAGTATTTAGAGAGGTTGTATGTCGGTGAGTTGGTGAAATCTATTACTGGTCTTAGTGGAACTGTGGGTTTATGTATCTTTGGTTGACCGTAGAATCTTGAAGGTACATAAGATTTTAGTCTTAGTTTAAACCAGAGACAATTTCTAATTTCGGGTTTCATTTCTTGAAGGAGTCTGTTTGTGTTTAGTTTCATTTTGTTGAATTCGGAGGATTTCTTCTTCTCTTCAATAAGTAAGTATAGTCCTTCAGATAGGTGTGTTCAATCGTCATCTTCTTTTCATAATCCGTTCTGTTCATTATCACAGTGACATTTCTCTTGTCGGCTTCCATTATAACGATGCTTTGATAATAATACTTTGATAAAGCTATTAGCAGCAGCATTAAATAGCAAAACGTCAGCAAAATCAATATCGCTTTGTTTATCTTTTTATACATTGAACTAGACAATAGAGTGTTTTACAATTCTTGCCTTCCTTTGTTTTGTTTTTTTAAAATAGTTATTGCAACAAATGATGTTATTGTGCCAACAATTGAATATATAGACAAAATTGGAAGCTTCAATTTTACACGAAGACATCTTGACACTAGTGCATTTCTAGATACTGATAGAAATTGGATGTCGTGTACATGTGTTGTTGGAAGTGTAAAATTGTTAGATATTATAACTGTGACATGGGAAGGTGGACTTTTTGATGATACTTCAGTTAATCAAAGTCAAATTCATCAAATTTATTCAAAGACAACAATAAGAGATCCATCGATAAGAGCGGTTACAGCTCGTCTTCGATTGAATTTACCACGTAAGTTCGTTAAAACAATTTCTGCTATTAACATAAATGAAAAAAATCATTAGATGATCGAATTCTAACGTGAGGAGATACTTAATCTGGGTTTTTAACACCTATAACACTTATCAACTTTGGGAGAACTAATATCCCCTCAGAGTGTTGGTGGCGCAATGGCAGAGTGCTGGCCAGCCACATAGGTGGTCCGGGGTTTGGTCCCCGGTCGATGCAATCCTTCACCTAGCTAAGCTAGTAATAAGACCGGTAGAGAGGGAAGGTTGGGTATGAGGTTAGCAACCCATCCTGTAAAAATAAAAACTTCAATCCTAACGAAACTTCAAAACTTCAGCTTGAAGCCCTATGTTCCACTGGGAATGTAAAGAAATAACGTACAATAATAATAATAATAATCTACTTTATTCCAAAAACAGTACTTATAATACAGAATGGAATTCTCAGCATTTGTCACAATATCTCGCATCTAATTTACTCAAAATATAAATAAAATTAAAAATTAAAACAAAATTAACCGGAGGAATTCGTCCACATATACGATATAAAGTCAAAAATATTCGAAGCACGAATTGAGATTATTAAATATAATAATAATAATAGCAGTGAGTTTGTTTCAAACACTATTGTCGATTCAGTTTGGAAACTTTAGCATGTTATAGACTATTGAATCTAATGTTCTGTTGATATAGTATAGTGAGGGGAAATACAAAATTAACAGTTATAACACAGCTTAAATTATGTCCACACTTATGAAAAAATAAACAAATAAAACCCAAAAAATTGAGAGGACTATAAATATAAGAAGTACAATGACAATAAAGGTTGGTATTGTAAGGGTGGAGGAAATGGTTTATTTAGTGATGCAAAGAAGGTTAGTTAGTTAGTTCATGCCTAACACTATTTTCATCACATAAAGTACGTGCCAAATATGATATAGTGGAATCTTTATAATCAGACGTACGTGCATAAATTCTTCTGAAAAGACTTCTTGTCTTACCTGAGGAGACATAAGGTTGGAGCTGCGGGTAAAGTGGGTGCTCAGAGTCTGACAAAATTCCTTTAGGGAATTTGTTGCATGACATCAAGTGCCTATCAGTGACGATGCTAACGATATAGCCCAGTGGGATACCACTCACTCTACTGACAGTTTTCATAGTTCTACGTGCGTCGGTGGCACAGTGGTTAGGACTCTCGCCGACCATGCACATGGTCCGGGGTTCGATACCCTGCCGGCGCACACTAGATATCTATGGTCGGCCTGAATTCGGGCTACTGATATCCATGCTGAAAATTCCACACTTGTACTGAAAATACAGTGTGGAATGAAGCTGTAAATCAAAAAAAAAAGTATGACATATGTCAGTTTAGGTGACACTATTTTAAACCTTCGAGTAGATATCATTTCTACAAAAGTTTCAGATATACCTTGCTGATTAATGTCAAAAGGCGCGAGACCTAGGTCAAAGATTTTTATACCATATTTTTCCAACAATCTAACATAAATCTCAAATGCATCTCAGTGGTGACCAACTTTCAAACCTGACCAACAGAAGTCAGGTAACACTAACACTATGGGCTAAACAGAGGACGTTAATCAACTACCTAATTACCATTCAAAATGTTAACCAATTATGTAGTACATTGAAATGTATTAAAAGTATTTCAATTGTTAGTGTCAATCAGGGAAGCAAAACTGCTGTATAATCTTCACATATTACTTCACTTGAAATCAATGTTTGTTTTAATAAAATTATCATCTTTTACTTGTGGACATTTTAAAGTAGGATTAGAAAGCGTATTGGGTAAAGTGGGAGTAAATTCACAAGGTAAATATTTAGTGGATGGAGGATTTCATCATGAGCTGAGCTGACATCAGTTGCAGAACCACTGGAAAACCAGGGAGTACTGGACAACTGTTTCGTCAGCCTAGTTTGGGACTCTTCAATAGTACACACCCTCTGGGGTTCGAACCCAGGACCTTCTGGTTACAATATTTAGTGGATGATATCAGTTGATAGGTAAATAGTTCAATCTAGTTGTGGTGTTTTACTGATTTCCTTTAGTCGTGTAACAGTTCTTACAAAGGTAACAGAGGAAATTCATCCTGAAATTGTGTTCAGTGTTTCTCAACTTTCGGCATTTCGTAGTGAGTATTTCGTCACTAAATCATATGGCGTCATTAGTAATTCCTTCATGAAGGATTCAATGAAATTCGTTTACCTTCAATGTTATTGGATTGTGATTTAAAACGTTTCGGTTGTCACCTGCTGAAATTTCCCACTTTAGCTTATTAGTATTGTCATTATTATTATTGTTCCCTTAGGTTCCTCGTGGAAATAGGGTTTCGATAGAATATCTCCGTTTTATTTCGTTCTATGGAGTTTTCTTCACCTGTCTAAACCATTACCCATAGGCCCTTATTTCCTGCTCACACGATCACCTCCATTTCACCTTCCTATCCATGCCCAACTTATCATTTCCTATTTGAGTTCCACTTAAGGGCCTGGCGCTGGATATCACTCAAAGGTATCCTCAGTATATGATTATTCCGTCTTCATTTCGTTCTGCATATTTGTTAGGCTCAAGGTTCTTGGTTGGTTCCTTCCCAGAGTTACTTGTCCGCTAATCCTTTCTGGCCGGCCATCTTATCTTTAGTATGGAACAAAGGCATAGTCTATTTAGAGAGTGAAAAGTTGGCTTTGAATACTTACCAGATATTTGTGAATTGTTGACCTGTGTTGAGCTAACTCAATAGGAATCTCCATATCAGATATACACACATATTACAGTCACTTTTTATTACCATTTCATTGGAGCATGATGATTCGGAAAAAAATCTTTTGTTGCTATTTGTCAGTTGTCACAATGAAGACTTTTAACGACCCTGATCAATTTGCTTATACATACAGTAGGTGTAGTTTAGATGCCTCTGTCGTCTTATATGATAATATTGTCTCTAGCTTAGATAGAGGTGCCAAATATGTTCGATGTGCCTTCCTAGATTACATATATGCATTCGACACTGCTGTACCTAGGCGTCTTTTGTTAAACAAGCTTGCTGCGTCACAAGAACAATGCTGGATTACCAAGTGGTTGTATTCCTATTTTTTCTGATAGGAGGCAGTCCACTGTCTACAATTGGAAGTTCTCTACTGCTTCACTTACTCCAGCTGGTGTTCCTCAGGAGACTGTTCTTCCTCCTTTTCTGTTCTCCTTCTTCCTACATGACTTGCCGCATTCTGACTTCTCAGTTCGACTGTTTCAAAATAAATTACTTTTTATCAGAAATTAGTCAGTGGTCTTTGTCAAATGGTCCTAAGCTGAATCACTCCAAATGTCAGGTGGTTAATTTCACTTTTCGACTCAAGAGCGACTTACATGAACTGGTTAGTTCACACGGTTCTACGATCATAGATTACACTGAAGTTGAAACCAAATCGAATGTATAATACCTTGGACTGTGTTTTTCCTCTGATCACCCTTCCTTTTCTTCCCATATCATGTTGGTTTCCAGAAAGATATTTCGTTTGATGTTCCACCTAAGTAAGGAAGTTAAAACGGTCTGGTATCATTCCGTTTCTATTGTTACGGTTTGTTAATTCTTGCTTTCTACCTATAGTTCTTCCTTCAGCTTAATCTTTCCCGGGCTGCTTAAGAAATATTTTGTTTGTTGCAACTTGTAGGGCACTAAAAGCCGTCAGTAGAGTGAATGGTGTGTTGCTAAACCAACTCGTTAATACTACTGTAGATAGACACTTGGATTCCTGCAAGAAATCAGGAAATATTATCCTATCAGACTCTGAACATCCTCTCTATACACAACTCTCTCCTTACATCTATCTCATCGGGTAGAGCTAGAAGCAACTATAGAAGAGTGTTTGCTCTGACGACTAAGTACAAAAACTGTATGACACCTTATTTGGCAGGCACACATTTTATCTGATGAGAAAAGTGTAAGACAGGAAATTACCAACTTACTGAGGAACTCTAAGTAAGCGGCAGTGTTTTTTTTGTTCGCATTATTACATTGTCGCTAGTATTTTCACTTGATTTAATTTCATATTCACTTCTTATTGAGCAATATTATTAGTGTAAATGCCCTATTTTAAATTATTCCCCCTGTAGTGAGAAATTAGATGCAATATTGTATTACATGCTGAAAATTCCATATTTGTACCAAAAGTACCGTTTGGAATAAAGCTATCACTATTACAATTTCCCCTTTTTTTTGTCTAGTCAAAGTGGTAGCTTTCCATCTCCATACAGACATATTGACTGATTCTGTGGGCTAAAAGGGATACTATATTAGTAACCAATATAATATTTTAATGACTTATTCGAATTTATCAAAAAGAGACAGACTGTTCTGAATCACGTTTTCAATTAGACCAATATCCTGCTGTCGGTAACTCCAGCTATCTTTATGAATTTATATGTAAATGCGGTAGCAAGGAAGTAAGAAGAACAAAGTGGCGGTTATCTAGAAGGATTGCTGAATACATGTCTAGGAGTTTATGTCTTAAAGGTTCAGCTTCACTTAACTACTCCCTGTTACAGTATCTGCAGGATGGAAGGCACTAGAATGATACAGCACTTCACGACTACTTCGAATTTCTGAAACTATGGCCATCTGAAGAATGTGGCCTGAATTGCATTATATGAAAAGAGACTGTTACAAACTTATAACTACCTTAGTAAGTAGTACTAATGAAGAGTCCCAATATAGGACGAAACAGCTGTCTAGTACTCCCTGGTTTCCAGCGGTCTCTATAACTAACTTCGTTTTGTGACGAAATCTAACAAATGAGATTAATCCAAGTCCTTGAATATCCCATTACCTAAATATTTAAATATAAAGCAATCATGACAATTTGTTACCAGAATGATAAGGTGTATATTAGTGTCAAGATGTTAGAGAGCTGATAACTCACTCCGAACGGCTAATACTCACTTGTTTTAAAAAAAATAAATCTATTTCTTTAACTCCGTTCCTTTTTAAAACTACATATAATATTAGTACACATTGCTTATGATGTCCATTTTGACACAAACTCCGTTTATTGGTGTTTGCCTTATTCTCTATTCTCCTTACAGTTCTTGATCAACGTGTTTTTGGCCAATATCGTTGTGTATTTAGCTTTTCAAAATCAGAGCATGCTGTGGCAACAGTTCACCTGAAAGGTAATCTAATATACATTATAATGCTTAATATCTTTTTTATTACTATATGTATATATATATATTAATTTAATAATGACTGTTTTTTATTGAGGTCAGTCAATAAAGAAACCCGTCTGAACTGTAGATGGTCTTGCCTGCTGACATTCATCGTTTAATCCTATCTACGAATTTGGGGATTTTTAAGGTGGTGGTTTTACGGAGATTTGACTGGCTCTAGAATCGACCGCGAGTTGACATCTCTGGAAAACCAACACAGAGTACTGGATAGCTGTTTCGTCCTTATTTGGGACACCTCAACATTATGTGTCTGCTGGGGTTCGAATCCAAGAACTTCCGGTTACATGGTGAGCTCGTAGACAATTCAGCCAATTTGATAAGGAAGTTAACACGCCCTTCGAGTTCCTAGCATGCATTACTCAATATTGAGGATTTTTTATTCCTTTACGTTCCCAGCGGAACATAGGGCTCCAAGCTAGAGGCTTGAAATTTCGGTAGCAGTGGTGTTTATTTTTACGGGATGAGGTTGCTAGCCTCATGCCCAACCTTTCCTGTTTACCAACTTTATTACTGGCTTAGCAAGGTAAAGGAGTGCGATAAGATCTCACTACTGACACTACTCATGAATTGTAATTCTTGGAAGACTGATTTTTTGGGAACAGTGGGAACCTTTGACTTTTCACTTTCTGATTTCATGTGTTCGTTCACCAATTTAGCCAGATATCCGTAGATCACGAATATTACCGAGTCCTTCGTTTGGTGTCCCATTTGAACAGATAATTCCAGCCCGGTGAACAAGATATCTAGCTATATTGCGTTTGTGTTGTAGAGGCACAAAACTTAGGAAGCGAGTATATTGTCCAGCTGAAGTAGGTTTCCGATGCAATCGTCTTTATATTGTTCCGTCTGTTCACTTAGTCATTAGGACGTCCAAAAACGTGATAGAGGCATTTTCTTCTTCTTCTTCGTCTTTGGTGAAGCTTATGCCAGGATGTGCTTTATTGAATTCTTCTAGTGTGTCCATAGTCTCACTTTCTTTCCTCAGTCTCCCTAAGATTGCAACATACGGGAGATGTTAATAATGAGACTTTATCAAAATCCGGTGGATGTGTACTGCCAGTGAGCCCTAAATCCAGCACTCCCTAGTTTTCAATGATATCTGTCCATGATCAAAACTTGAAATTATAATTCACTTGTCGTCTTCAAGCGCTGGCTTTCAAACCCTAAGAGCTCAGTAGTAATGTCTCTGCCAATAGCACTGGGTGGCCCGAATTCTTTCGAAATTTGTGTGTGTGTGTCGGTGGTGCAGCGGCAGAATATTCACCAGTAGTCCATGTAGTCTGAGGTTCGATCCTCGGCTAACTCACTCTTGAAACTTCACCTAGCTGAAGGTAAGTCTGTCAAGGAGGGAAGGTTGAACGTGAGACCGAAACCCCACCCTGTAAAAAATAAACACTACTGCTACTGAAACTTCAAAGCTGAGGCTTGAAGCCCCCTGTTTTTCCACTCGTAACGCAAAGTAATAAAACTTAAAAAATAGAAATAATGTTGTCTTCAAGCCTTCTATTTCCTTTATGAGCTTGAAAGACATACTTATATATATATATGCCGTTATATTTTCGAAAAGAATAGTTAAATACCAACATACTTCCTGCAAAACCAACCAAGGACCTATCACTCATTAAATATGCCAAAGAAAATGGCGATGGATGAGACATGCCCTGAGGAAAGCCACCAAGTGAAATCGCACGCTACGCCATCTCTTGAGTGGAACCTGAATGGGAAAGAATAAGTTGAGTGTGCCTAGGATGGTGATGTATAGAAGATCGATTGGGAGGCGGGTGGGAAAGAGAGCTTATGGATAATCATAAAGCTAGCTAAAAGGGACTGTAGGCGACATGATGAAATAGAGATGTGCTGTTAAAGCCATGTATTCCACTGGGAACCTAGAAGGAGACTGGGGAATACCGCATAGTTCTCCATACATCTCCAACCAACATAATATCCTATGATAAACTAATGTGTAAGCTGCCGAATGAAATTGATACACCAGTTGAATCACTCAATGAAATAACCAAATGGATTTGATCAGATTACGGAGAGAGGAAGATAGACAGATTGTAGAGGATTTAAGCTTTGATAGATAAAAGTGTAAAAAGTTAACTAGTGATTTGTATTTCAACACTTTTAATAAATTAAAGAGAATAAGTTAAAAGGCTTTAGTTATTTTTTCATAAAATAATGAAATGAATTAACTGGATTGAAAAAGCCACTAACGCGCAACAATAAGTAATAATACTAATAATTCATTTATTTTTTCTAATTTTTTTTATTGATTTTTATTCCTCTAAATAACGCTTAGATAAGTTTAAAATTGTGAATAGTGTTTTTAAAAGAATTAATAAAATAAATTAGAAAGTTAGTTTACAGAAATTCAAAGACCTCCTCAGATATGGTGATGACACTGTTACAAAGAGTTGGAGGGTTGAAGGAAATGTACCTACTGATTAGACGAAAGCCTACCTTGTCCAAACTACAAAAGAAGAGCTACTTAGGCGTCGGAAGGAACTGTTACGGAATCATGCTCATGTCCACGCTAAGTAAAGTACTAAGTCACATCATCCTGAAGAGAATGACAGATGCACTGAATGCAGAACACTGCCCACTGGGACACACTTGGTTCAGGAAAAGCAAATCATGTGAGGATCAAGCTACAACGCTACGCATAGAATGGCAGTCAAATCTCTACCTCAACTTCACTGACTTTGAAAAGGACTTCGACAGCGTTGACCATGAAGTAGTCTGGAAAATACTAAATCTTTATCGGTCTCGTCCAACAGGTAAATGAAAAAAAAACATGTTTAGTGATCCACAACGAAACATTCAGCGATGTCTTTCAAATGAAGGTAGAAGTAAGCTGAGACTGCCTACTATAACTGATGATATTCGTAGGTGTATTGGACTGGATTATGCGTCACATTGTGGGGAGATAGAAGACAGTAATACGTTGGGACCGATAAGAAGACTCTAGAAGAATTGGACTTCACGAATGATGTATGTCTAATGTCATACAAACTCGAGGACTTATAGGCGAAAATCAACAAGATGGGAGAAAAAGCTGGCATCGAAGACATGAATTCAAGGGAAAATAGAGGAGAGGGAGATGGTGGAGATACTTAACCAATCGACAAAACAAGCATAAATCACTATCAACGGAATAAATTTGAAATAAGTTACTTCCTTCACTTATATAGGAACCGCTGTTTCAACTGCAGGCGAAATGGATGAGGATGTCAAAACCCGGATCGAAAAGGCGAGACAACCCTTCATTGACCTGAAATGAGTCTGGAAGTCTTCTGCACACAGAAAAGGGGACAAAATTCGAGTTAATTCAGTTCTCCTTTATGGGTCAGAAACTTGGTGCATCTTGGAAAGCATTTCACATCATAAACAGTTGCTTTCGCTGGCTTCATATGGCAGTTAAGATCGCCACAAAGAATTAGCTACAAGAAACTCTTGAAACAAACTGACCAAGAACCTACTGGTTAACATATATGTAGGAGACCTTGTAGATGGATCGGACAGACGGTTAGGAGACTGCCTCCGCCATCGCTGGAGTGGAATCTGAGAAGGAAACGATGAGTTGGACGTGGGTTTTAGGATGACATGGAGGAGACTGTGTTATGAGGAGATGAAAGCTTACGGACAATCATGAGGTCATTTGAAGGAGACTACAGTGAGCAGGTTGGAATGGAGATGTGTTGTCAAATCCCCATGTTCCTCTTGGAACACAAGGGAATAATAAACAATATAATAATAAGTTGGCTGAAATATAAGTATTACACACATATTGTTTTGTACATCGGTGGCTGAATGCTGGAACGCCCCCCCCCAATCAACCAGGATGTCTGATTTGGATTTCTGGCCAACACACACCCAAATCTCGCCTAGCCTAGTTTACTAGCCGACAGTAAATCTGGAAAAGACAGGCTGCATGTAAGGCTAAAAACCCTTGCTCCAAAAAAACAACTAAGCTGCTACTGGAGCTCCGTAAAAGCTCAAAGCCATAAGATTCATGTGGAACCCAAGGAGTGAGTAGTTTGTTTACATCTCCAAAATAGTAAAATTGCTCCAAACTGTGCTTTTAAGTACTGCAATAGACCAAGGAGTTTAAAATAGTTAAGAGAAGTTAGTTATCAGAGTATTTTCACGTCGGTGCTTCGGCAGTAGAATGCTTGCCAACCACGCGTGTAATCTGAGGTTCGATCCCCAGCTCATGTACTCCTCTAGACCTCGTTGATCCAGTAGTAAGGCCGGCAAAGAGATAAGGTTGGGTATGAGGTTCGCAACCCCATTCCGTAAAAATAAGATCACTGCTACCGAAACTTTAAAGCTGAAGCTTTGGAACCTTATCTTCCACTCAGAACGTAAAGGAATTAAATAAAAATAATAAAAATAGTTACCACAGTCGAACTGTTATGTCATTCGATAGGGATAAATACAAATTCAGTTGAACAAGTTATGTTTCCTCTTAACGATCAATTCCCATACCTAATATCATATAAAAGAAGGTTACTTACTTTTTTTCCTTCACGTTCCTCAGTGAAACATAGGGCTTTAAGCTAGTGGTTTGAAGTTCTGGTAGCAGTGTTTATTTTACAGGATGGGGTTGCTAGCCTCATGCCCAACCTGTTCTCCTCACCAGCATTATTTCTGGCTTAGCCTGGGATCGAACCCCGTACCATGTGTATGGTCGGCGAGCGTCCTAACCGCTATGCCACCGACGCACAGGGCACTTACTAGTGACCTGAATATCCTAACGGTGCTGATTAGTGCCTGTCCGAATCTCTGCGGAAAGGTAATTTTCGTCAAGATTGTAGATAAGTAAGCCAAGTCGATTTTTGTCGTCAATACGGGAATTCTTGCTAACGAGAATCCTTCCAAAGATACTATCAAAAATTCCAATTAGCAAGGGGAAAAATATAATAGTGTTGTAGAGTGAGTTGTAACAAAAGTAAATTTAAGTGTGCCGTTTAAAAAAACACCTCGGGATTGCATGACTGAAATCATTTTTGAAAACAAAAGAGAAAATTGAGTTTTTTTGGAGGCAATTGTGACTAAGTCAACTGTTGATAATTTTCAATTGTATGCTGGATATGTGGATGACATCTTCATTATTCGTCATGATAGTCGTGATCTTAATCAATTGTTACGGATTTTCAACAACTGCCATCCAGTAAAAAAGTTTACTCTTGAAAAAAAATACAGTGGGTTTGTACTGCAGACGAGTTCCAAACTAGGACGAAACGGCTGTCTAGTACCGCCTTCTTGTTTTCAATGGTTATCTTACTGAAATCAATCCGTAGTCAAACTGATACAAATCAAATCCCTATGGAGTAACTCTTGAAAAAATATTCGGTTTCCTTGAATCGAGATGAATACAGCTAAAGTGTCTGTCTCACTATAAGGGATTAGTTTAATCTATAATCCTAGTTATGTAATAAGTAATATCGATTACTGTCCTCTATCCTCTAGGTTGGTTAACATGTTCAATGAATCAAATGACATCAAATGATTGTAAACCGACTCCATGGAGAAAGGAAATCGAAGAAGTAAATATTACCAGTCAGTATTATAAATATATGCCTACCACATTGATCAGATTAATGCTGTCTCGACTATTGGAGTTAAAATGCTGCCTGTTTTCTTTTTGCTATTAGAGTGGTTGTTTCTACAATTAACTGAGCTATGACTGATGAAAGCTATGACTTTTCTTTCAGCTATTCAAAAAGTTCACTTCTAATGTATATCTAAGTGTCACTTAAAAGGATTTTATACTGATTTTGATGAAAACTGACGTGTGAAGGTCGTACATAAGATGGATTAGAGTTTAAGTATTATTATTGAATCATACTACAAATTAGACAGGCTAACTAAGAATCTACTTGACTAATGTTTGCCTACTAGGTCTTTTCATTTTTTTTATTCCTTTACGTTTCTAGTGGAACATATGGCTTCAGGCTGGAGGCTTGAAGTTTCGGTAGCAGTGGTGTTTATTTTTACAAGATGGGGTTGTTAGCCTCATGCACAACCTTCCCTCTTTACCAGCTTTATTATTGGCTTAACGAGGTTAAGGAGTGCGTCGGTGGCTGGGGATCGAACCTCGGACCACATGTGTGGTTGGCGAGCATTCTACCCCTGGGACACCGACGCAATTCACATTATGGTATACCCATTGACCGAACACACCTATCCCTGCATCTTGTCAGACGAGATAGGCATTTGGTATCATCCTGTGGCGCAACCACTTGGGAGCCCTATCCCTCGGTGGACCAGTTTGCTAGGTGCACTAAGTTTATGAATGACACTGAGTTTTTCCGTGTAGTCAATCAGTGAGCCACATTTGAGACGTTCTGGCAATATAGTTATTATTATTCCCTTCGGTCCCAAGTAGAACACAGGGCTTCAGTTGCACATCTTTATGTTTACTGTGTTCCCTCAAGTCGTTTTCAGCTGTCTGCACAATTGTCCATCAGCTTTCATTTCCTTATCACATGATATTCTCCATGTTATGTTCGAACGCTTAAGTTATCGTTTCCTCATTCGGGTTCCACTGAAGGGCGTACCGTATGATGTCACTCGACGGTATTCTCTATCTTTCTTTCTGAATATTTGTTGGGCGCTAGGTTTTTGGTTAGTTCACTCTCAAATTTTTTTGTTACTTCTCCTTTTCGGCTGACCATCTAATCTTAAGTATGGAGTGAAGAAAGCTACTGATGAAAATCCCCAACAGACTGTTGGAAATGCTTATGCTGACGCGCTCCGATTGGGTGAATCATATAGAACCATTGATTCGACATCAGAGTTGAAGATCCTGAACTTGTTCCACACTGGTTTCAAAGTAATGGAGGCTTGTCTTGCTATTGTAATCCGATCCTTCCTTTGACATCTACAACTGTGTGGTCAGAAGTCAAGCGCCTGAGTCATTGGTCCTCACTCTTACAGGAAAATTGGATTTTCAAAAGAATGGTTACTGAACAAAGAATACTCTTTTCGATAACTTCATCATCAGGCTCTGCAGTTATTTGTACATTATAGTGAGTGAATGAATTAGTGTTATGAACAACATGAGTTTTTAAATAACATTGAATCAATAATATCAATAGATTACAGTTCAGTAGCATCAACATAAACTAAGCTGAATGTCAGAAAGATTAGGAAAGATAATATTACAAATTCATGAATTTATAGTCTCCACTGAAGGCCGGCCAGAGCAGTACTTGTTGTATCGCGTGAATTGCGATAGCCTCTACTGTTTTGAGCATGCTCTACTTCGATGTTTTTGGCAATTTATTTGACACCTAGTAGATGATAGAGAAGGATTCTTCAATGCTGGCTTTGTAGCCGGTTTGGACCAGGTTATCTAATGTCGAACTGTTAATGGTTTTCACTACACCTTTACTTATCCATACTGGGAGATGTTCTCGTGTACGAAAAATCAAGTTCCAAGAGCAAAGGCCGACATAACTCGCTCCTCTACAAGAGCAGTTGAATTGGTAGACAGAATTAAAAGTGGCTATTCCAGAAACTTCATCTTTCAGTCGAAGAATCACCATCGGTCGTGTAGAGAATAAGACGTGAAGTTTGCCAGCATTAAGAGTTGTTTAAACTGATTTTCTTAATTTCTTTGTAATTATCTCACTTGGTATATCGCCTTTGAATTGCAGTCGTATATAAAGAGGCTTCTTGTTTACGGATAGTGAGTAGTCCTTTTCCGCTTTCTTTGTCATCTGATTCTTGATAAATTTGTCGGGATAGCTATTTTCAATCAAGATATCATATACAATGCTTAATTCATCTTCAGGTACTTCTTCTGAGCATATAGCTCTAACTCTGTGGCTGAGGGTCTTTACTAAATTTCTTTGGTACTGAAAAGGAGCGAAGCTGTGAAAATGTGTATATTGTCCTGTCCATGTACTTTTTCTATTCAAATTTCTTTTTATCCTACCATCTGGTTTTCCTGTTAGGAGGACATCCATGAAGGCAATTCTATTTTAGGATTCCTCTTCGCACGTGAATTTCATAGCCAAATGTACCTCATTGAATTCAGTTATTGTTGTACTCCTATCCGAATCATTATCACAAAGAATGAAGTTGCCGGTGTATGGATGACACCTTCATTCTTTGTTCATAACACTAATCCATTCATTCACTGTAATGTATGCATAACTGTAGTGCCTGATGATAAAGTTATCGAAAAGACATCACACTAGTTACTAGTGTCCAATCTAAATACCCACTACAGTCCTACAGGAGGTCAATCGCGAGCCCGAATAGCTCAGTGGTAACGTCTCTGACTGCAGCACTGGGTGACGCGGGTTCGAATCTCAGAAGAAACATTAGTTCCTTCAAGGTTTCAGATATGCCTTGCTGACTGGTGAGTGCCAACTAGCATGAAACCTAGGTCGAAGCAAGGCTTCGTGAGGCCGATTGCCTCCAACTATCTAATATCATCAAATCAATGTGCACCGTGATGGCAAGCTACCTAGAATGGTGGCCACATTGCAAAACCTGACTGATAGAATTCAGTCTGCACCAAAGAAAGGACTAGACACGTCACACTAGTTACTAGTGTCCAATCAAGATTATTCTTTTTTCATTGACTATTCTTTTGAAAATTTTTTCAATGGGCATTTTTAATCAGTTAAAATTAGATTTCTCTAGATTTAATCAAATAATTTCAGTGACTGGAAACAGCTTCACTTGTTTGTGAGCTTAGTATCGTTCCACATAGTTTACTCTTATGATTTTATAAGGTATATATTTTCAATTTTAGTGCCTCCAATTTTACGTTTGGTTCATGATCCCCCACCAATTCCTCCAACTAATTCTTCTGGTCGATATACATGTACAAGTAGTCTGTGTACAACACCAATTCCCGAGGAACATTCAAATTCCAATTGGACAAATGCTTGTGAAATTCTTGTCGCATATCCGCTAGTAAAATCTAAAAATTTAATCTGGGCATGGACACAACCACAATGGGCTGCATATATCATTCGAAAAGTTGAAGAAGTTGGTAAAGCAAATGTTCTATCAGATTTTTCAATGTTAAACGATAATGAAATAGGCAGTTATGGACCATGGGAGGTATTAGAACGTCGACGTAGATCAACAAGTACTGACTCTGATATGGAGAAACCGGATCTTGTTAAATCTGGTCCTATACTATTTTGGTGTTGGGCTAATAATGATGTTGGACAAACAACTATATGGTGGCCTGGTCCAGTTGACAGTTACAGCTATTCAAGTAAGTAATATGCAAACATTACTGGAAAATAAATATATTTTTTTATTGTGTAGTGTGTATAGACCGACAGATGTGACAGCGTAGATCCATTATTGATTTATTTTATTCCTTCGCAACAACAACAACAGACAACAATCAGCATAAATGGAAGGAACCTGAAAGAAACAACTTCCTTTACCACCTACCTACCTGGGAAGCATCGTTCCAATTACAGGCGGACTAAATTGATAAGGATATCAAACCGAAGATCAGGAAAGCAAGACAAGCTTACACTACTCTCAAGTCTGTGTGGAGGTCAACAGCACTCAGCATGAAAATGAAAATAAGATCTGGATTTCCAACTCTAATGTGAAGTCAATGCTACTATACGGATCAGAGAATTGACGCGTCATAAAGAGCATCTCAAACAAATTACAGACCTTCATCAACAGCTGCCTTCGCTCAACACCAATCAAGGTCAGATGGTAGCCCAGAAAGGATCAGCAATAGGGATCTCTGGGAGTGAACCAACCCAGTAGGAAGCAATTGTACAACAAATATTCTGGAGGAAATCGAGGCGGATTGGTCATACTCTGAGAAAACCATCAAGTGACATCTCACGCTAGGCCATTGGTCGAGTGGAACCCGAATGGAAAGCGGCGAGTTACTTGGTCGTCAGTGCGAGGGTGACATGGAGGAGGTTATGTGAAGAAGAGATGAAAGCATATAGGCAGACCTGGAGCCAGGTGAAAACGTTCGCGGAGAACTGAACGCAATGGAGACGTGGATCTGAAGCCCTGTTTTCCTCTAGGAATTAAAGGAAATAATAATAATTCCTTCGCGTTCCTAGTGGAATATATGACTCCAAGCTTCAGCTTTAAAGTTCCAGTGATCGCCCAGCTTTCCTCTATTACCGGACCAACTGGCGGCTCAGCGAGGTTTAGTTATGCATCGGCTGGGGATCGAACCCCGGACTACATGAGTGCTTGGGGAGTATTCTATCACTGAACCTTGTGATGCGAAGGTGTAGAACTGCATGTTAAATCACTCGCAGTAGCAGCACAGTATAATTTCCTATAAGTTCGGTTGATATCGAACTTAGTGATACAGTAACAGTAACTGAATGATGTTTCGAGTAGCATTTTTTGCTCTTATTTACTTCAAATCAGTTTCTAACTGGCTTCATCTACTTCTGCTTCGCCCGTGTTTTCCACTCATTCAAAATTTCTATATGTTCAAGACAGGTGTTATGTCATCATTCTCGGTACAAGCGTCAGACGTTGATTTTTTGAATTCATGAAAAATGTGTCCATCCAGACATGAAAATAAGAAAAAACAGTTCAGAGAAGTGGCGCTTATCAGTGAATTCATCTACTTACCTGTACAATCTCGGTTATACATAATTATTTTTGTATGTGCGTCGGACCCTGAGCATCCTCTGTATACACAACTCTCTCTCTACATCCCATCAAGTAGGACCAACTGCAACCCCAGAAGACTTTCTGGAAGGATGAATAAGCATAAAACCTCTATAATATCGGATTTGCCACACGATTTATGTGATCAAAAAAGTAAGACGCTGACAGAATTCAGAGTCTTCTGAATACATTCAGATGCAATCTTCGATTGTTTGGCATGCGATTCGCTCCCGCCAAATGTAAGATGATATTATAGGACTGGACTGCATTGACTCCTAGCTTAGAAATAGGGAGTGAAGTGGTTGAGGGTGTTTACCACTTCACTTAGTTGGGAAGTTGCATCATCCAACGCCAGCAGGTTGATCACTGACGAAATTTCAGCATGGATATAGAAGGTTCATTGGGCATATGCCAGTTTACGCCGTCTCTGGCATAGACGAGATATCCGGCCATCGACTAAAGGACGTGTGTACTGCTAAGCAGTTCGCTCCGTCCTTCTTTATGGCTCTTGGTGAGACATGAACATTGAAAGTGGAAGACATGGAAATGCTGGCTAGCTATCTTTGATCGTAGGTGACTGCGTTCTATCTCCCATGTTAAAGAGATTGTATAATAAGGTGAGCAATATTGAGGTTACGCATCGGTCGAGTGCTAGGTAAGGATGGGAAACTAATAGATGAGAGTGTGAAGCTACATCGATTGAGATGGTTAAGACATGTGTTACCTATGCCTAACCATCACCTTCCTCAACAATGGGCAATGTTAGTTGACATAGTGTCAGGTTGGTAAAGAGCCAGTGGTGGTGAAAACAAAACATGGATTCATCAGTGAATGAAATTCACAACAGTTAGTTTAAGCCAGTCACGTAGGAAGGTGTAGACTTCCTGGTTGGGTTCCTCGGGACGGTAGAAACCAATGACAGCTGGAGACAATTGATCATATGGCTCAAAGTGATCGTTCTCAACGGCTCAGATGTGTCCACTCCTTGTGACTTATAATACCCAATAAAACTATATTACTCTTCGATATTACTATTCTTTTTGCCTCATACCGCTGTTTACTGTCTCTAATGTGGATTTCTTTTCACTGTCTTCTCTCGCTTTGTGTGCTACATGGAGTGTGGCGACTCGAACTGTTGCACATCGGTGCAAAGTTCTATGTTGAAACCAGTCAGTCATTCAGTTAGATCAGAAAAGTGCAAGGGATGACATTTTTTTTAACTAACTGAGAAACTCTAAGTAAACGGTCGTCTTTATTCTTCCTTTCTTTCATTCTCTCATTATTCTAGAGTTATTAATATTTTCACACAATTTTGATTTTATATTCAGTTATCTTATTTAACAATATTATCAATGTAAATATCCGATTTCATTATTGCCCCTATATTACGTAATCGGTAAATTAGATGCAATACTGTACTACATGCTGAATGAAAATTTAATATTTGTGTCAACAGTAATGTCTGGAATAAAAATATTAATATTATTATTATTTTCCGTAGTTTGATTTGTAAGGATTAGTTATGTTTTTACGAGTTGATCACGTATTGATATCAGTTAGAGAAGCATTGAAAACCAGGGAGTACTGGACAGCTGTTTCCTCCATTCAAGTTTGGGAATCATCGGCAGTACACACCCACCACCAGAGTTTGAACCCAGGACCTTCCGGTTACAAGTAGGCAAGCTCGTATACCATTCAACCACTGGGACCCGATTCAGTGGCCAGCCCATGGATTCTAACTTTTACCAATTCGTGTTTTAGCGCGACCCCAACCAATGTCGTTGGTTTGACATCCATCCCCACACGTGACATCTGGTTGAACCTCACTGGTCACGACTTCTCTCTAGAACTCCATGAAACTCCATCCTATAGCAAGTCACTTGAGAGCATCAGATTAATTTTCTATAATTTGGTTTGTAAGGGTTAGTTATGTTTTTACGAGTTGATCATGGATTGATATCAGTTAGAGAACCATTGAAAACCAGAACTGGAGTACTGGACAGCGCTAAATCACGAATTGGTAGAAGTTAGGATTGATGCACCGGCCACTGAATCGGGTCCCAGTGGCTGAATGGTATACGAGCCAGCTTGCCTTGTTACCGGAAGGTCCTGGGTTCGAATTCCAGTGGGTGTGCACTGCCGATGATTCTCAAACTAGGATGAAACAGTTGTTCAGGAATCTCTAGTTTTCTATGGTTCTCTAACTGATATCAATCCATGATCAACTCGTAAAAATTATTATACTAGTTTTGGGTATTGCTTACATCATCAAAATATTTCAGAACACTGGTAAGTTATCAAACTGTAGCTAGAGGGGCAAGGTGAAGATTTTTAAGCTTAGATTAATAGTTACGTAATATGAAAAAGGTTCAGAAAAAATTAGACGTTAACAACCGATCACGCAGACAAGTATCAAAATAAATTATGCAGTGTTGGATGAAGGGAATGAACAAAAGGAAATCTTACAACTAAAAGATATCTCAAGAAAAATGCCAAAAGTAACACTTATAACAAAATATTCATAACAGTTGAACTTGAGACTATACTGAAGATAGAAGATGGAGATAGAGAATTTTCTTCTGTGTATATCACGTTGGTGGTATAGCGGTTAGGACGCTCGTCAACCATGCACATGGTCCGGGGTTCGAACCCCAGCCGATTCACTCCTTTACCTCGCTAGGCCAGAAATAATGTTGGTGAAGAGGAAAGGTTGGGCATGGGAGTAGCAACCCCATCCTGTAAAATAAACACTGCTACAGAAACTTCAAGCTAGATGCTTGAAGCCCTATGTTCCACTGGGAACGTGAAGGAAAAGAAAATATCAGTCAGGGTTTTCTATCCAAGTGACTAAGACCTCAGAAATAAAAAGACAATTGCAGCGAAGAAAATTTTCTTTTCGACGAAGTCATCATCTAGGCTGTACATTTGTGTATTTATATCAAATGGATGGGAAAGTTTCAGAATAATTTCTGGTTAAGAGTCAAATTAATAAAAATTACAATTAGGAATTAGAATGCCATAATAAACAGGGGGACGGATAAAACTCGAACAAAGTAGCATTATAATAACTAAGAAGATTGACCTCAGAAATACAAAGTATACGGAGGCATATAGTTTTCCGGAAGCTTCTTTTAACTTTGTAGATAAGTTGGAATGAATTGTACTTGCATATTGAGTGACTAGTGTTAACTATGTGTTCCAATGGTTCGTTGTGACCCTTCTGTAACCAAGTGGGATAATGTTCGCTGACATGCATTGAACGACCTATATTTCTCATTCCGTATGAGCGAGTGAATTGGAAGATATACAGAGGAGTAACCAAGTGAAATAGTATATCTGTAGAGTTATGAGAGAACAATTCCACTATGGGTAAAGTTTATTTTGATAAAGTCTCACAGTGTTATACAGTAATATTTACTGATAACCACGTTTCGAGTACAATTTATTGCTGCTCATAATCATATCAAGATATTCACACAACTTTCTAACTTCGTTTAATATAATTCCATTATTTTTCATCGCTTGATGTGATTGGTAGTAGTATTTTCCATATTTCCGGTATGAGTGATGAGTCATTTCTGTTGCATGTGTTGGGCGTAGACT